ATTTCATGCTGATTTGTGTTCGAATATAATTTTATTAAGGTTTTCTTTTTCAATTAATTAATTGAACTTTTCAGTTTAAAGGAATTTCTCAGTTTAAAAATGAGCAAAAAAAAGTAGAAAGAAGAAAATGAAAGAATAGTTTGAGAAAAATTTAAATTAACTTACTTTTTATAATTCCATTTATATGTGAAAAAAACAAAAAAAAAAATTTCGAGGAAAAAAAAATCTTTTCTATCTTTCCCATTTCAGGTCATTATATTATTTCAGGCCTTTTCATTTCGTTTTTTTCTTTTTTAAATAAATTAATTTTCAGCTTCATTTTAAATTTCTTCTTTTTTTTCGTCTCTGCTTATCTTTGATTTAAAATAAAACATAATTATACTGGATATTGTTGTTAATCTATGGAATTACCATATAAATATTACTTTTGCAAACAAATACATTTTAAGAATGAAAGAGAAAATAAAAAGGATAAAAGAGAGAAGAAAAGAAAAAGGAAGAAATGAAATAAATAAACAAAAAGGGTAAAAAGACTTTTGCTTATTTCTATGAAAAAAAAAAAGAAAGTAAGAAAAATGAATGCCCACTAAGGCAAATATAATTAATTAGTAATTGCAGTGAAAGTTTCCTTTCGGCAATTTCATCAATTTTTATTTTTTTCGCTTTTATTTTTTCTCATATTAAATGAATGAAAAAAAAAAAACAATTTCATCAAATTTATTTTAACTCTTTTCAAAGCTTTTCTTTTTTTTTTTAGAAAAGAAACAAAAGCGAAAAATGAAATTGAAATTTCGTCCTTTATTTCATTTCATTTTAATTCATTACCATTATTCATTTAATGATTCATTTCAAAATAATATATCAAATTTCCACATATTTCCTTTTTTTTTCACATTTTAAAATATCCTTTTATTTATTGCAGGAATTTTAATTTCTTTTCATTTCTTTAAATTAATGTAAAAGTTGTAATTGTCAAATTGTAATAAATCTTTTCCTTTTTTAATTTCACACATAAATAATATTTGAAATTGAAAATTTCAAATTTGAAATAAAATTTGAATGAAAAATTTTTCAAATAATCTTTCGCAAACAGTCCTATCATTTCCGATTTTTTTTCTGCTGTTGAAGAGCGATGACTTCTTCAAATGCCTTTTTTTTTTAAATATATCACATATCTTTCTCATGTGTCTTTTCTTCTTATGTGTCACATATCTGTCTTTTTTTTCCTTTATGTCACATATCTGCTTTTTTTTTTTCTCTTTTGTGTCATACATCTCTCGCATGTATCATTTTAACATATAACAAAAGAATGAAAGGAAAAGAAAAACAAGTTTTAGCCAACCATTTTCTTCAAATTTTATTAGATGATATTTGAATTTTTTAAAAGTGGCAAAAGGAAACATATAAAATTCAAAAGAAAAAAAGAAAAAAAACTTAGTTGGAAATAATGAATCCCAATTTATTTGGATTCTTTTTTTTAAAATTTTGCAAGTCCATCCTTTTTTTTTTGTTTATGACATAATGTATAGTAAACAAATATGCGAAAAATGAACTTTTTTTCTTTTTGTCTAAAACATGGAACTAACTAATTAACTAATTAACTAATTAACTTCACTGTGTATGTTATTTTCACATAAAATAATCTATTATTTGTTATCGTATGCTAATACATTCTTTGATTGCATCAAATTTTCCTTAATTATCTAAAATAAAAAAAGAACTAAGACAATAAAAAATTACACTTAAGGAAATTATCTTTAATATTTC